CCCCCCCCAGCCAGAGCATTCGTCTGTCCACTGAGCCTAAGGAGCCGCCCCCAATTCTTGCGAAAGGACTAGACATGGGCTCTCTGGGGTCCTCGAGGCTGGCCCACACCCTGGCCCATTTCAGGAGGCCCATTGGGAATGGCCTGGGGGAGTTTCAGAATGTTTTCCCTCCCTGCTCAAAACCCTTTACAAGCCTGCGAGGGAAACCGCTGGTGGAGGCATCTGCCAGGCAGGGCCTGACCTCCCTCCCCACCACCAGGCCTGGTGCTTTCTCAGCTGCGTGAGTGGGCAGGAGGCTGGGGCCCGGCACAGGGAGTGCTCAGTGGTGAGGAAAGCAGAAGCGTGGGCTTGTGGGGGACTTGAAGCCAGGCTCCATGCTCTGGGGCCCAGCCGTGGGACTCTGGCTGGGCTGCTCAGGAGGCCCAGGAGCTAAAGCAGCTCTGCAGAGAAGGATGGGGAGGCTAAGTGGGGGAGACATTTCTTTTATCTTCTCAATTCTATTGATTTTGTTGTTGAGACTATACACCGCCAAACACACCAATCCCAACGGCGTCTCCACGTGCGATGGTTGTTGGGTGCCATCGAGGCGTTCCGACCCACGGCGACCTCGCGCACAGCAGAAGGAAACACTGCCTGGGGCTGGGCCACCCTCACAACTGTTCCTGCGCCTGAGCCTGTGGCTGCAGCCATGGTGTCATTCCGTCTCCGTGAGGGCTTGCCTCTTTTTCACTGTCACCATTAGTGGCACGTATTAGATTCTCCCAGTTGTGCAACCAGTCTCACTCTCATTTCCTGGATTTTCCCTACCTGCTTACTGATGTCAATTAAACCCACTGCCCCCAAGGTTCCTGTCTAATCATGGGAATGAGTGTTGTTAATTTGCTCTCCTATCGGTAGTTTAAACAGCAGAATGCTCAAGGCTGGACTTTTTATTCCAGTTAAACTAAACTGCTGTTCAGTTTTAAGATAACTTCAGGGGCTAGAAAGAGCACTGGTGACTTAGTGGGTCACACAAGGTCGGAGGTTTGAACCCACCAATCACCCTGGAGAAAGATGGGGCTGCCTGCTTCCGGAAACCCTAGGGAGAAGTCTGACTCTGCTCGACAGAGTCACTATGAGTTGGAATAGACTCAATGCCTGTGGGTTCAAGGACTCTCTTTGGTTTAAGGCTTAAAGATCATCCTAGGAAAATCGTTTCAGGGGTCCATTCACCTCCTAGAAAGTCCATGAGACTATGACGTTGCAGAACCGACACTGAATGAGGACCCTGGGGCATCAGGGAAAGGCAGGGATGGCTCTGAAATTGTCGGCTTGGTAGGTTCTGCATCGAGGGTGTGGCAGTTATATAATCTCCTGTCAACTTGCGAAGGGGTGGAGTCTAGCCTGTCAATCAGGTTGCAGCTTGATGACCTCACTAAAAGCCAGACACACACTCTCCCTGCAAGACATTCCTGTTGACAAGCCACATGGAGACACACTGATGGAGCCAGAGCCCTGGAACTGGAGGAGCCACGTGGAAACCTGTGCCAGCACTGAGATGCTTCCATTGCTATAGATTGGTATCAGACATATGGGCTAATATTGAACATATGGACTTGATCTGGACTGGGTTGGGGTGTTTTTATACAACTACATGTTTACAGTAGAACCCTGGACCTCGATGCTAATCTATTCTATAAGGAGCATCGAGATGCAATGCAGTTGATTTCTGAATCAATTTTCCCATAAGAAATAAATGAAAATGGATTAATCAGTTCTTTTTACCCTAAGCTGGACTTTTTATACAAAGCATTACACAGAAACTTCAAAGTAAATAAGTTTAGAGTTAAATAACATAATTTAAATAAGAAACACAACATTAAAAAGTTTAACAACTACAGTATGGCCCCTACCTTGAGGTTGATGATCTGGATCTGTGTATGCGGATGTGGAGAGGAGGGATGGAGAGAGAGTCATTGTTTGGAAGGGGAATCCCCTTCCATAAAATCCACTGGTAGCTGCTTTTCAGGAGTTTTTTTTTTTTCTTTCTTTGCCTGTTTTCACTAGGACCTGGTTGGCTTTCTCTAAAAAAAAAAAAAAAAATCTGTCTAATATGATCTGCTGTTGACATTTCCTTAACTGTTTTCTAAAAGGGTTTACTGAATTATCATCAATAATATCAATAGCACGGTTAACCAGTTCTTTATGATGATTATTTTCAAATAACTCTTCCTTAGGACCCATGTTTTTATCTAAAAATTGTACAAAAACTCATCAGACAGGGCAAGATATCACAAAATAATAATTTATAAATTATCAAGGGTCCATGAGGGAGGAGAGAGCGGGGAGGGAGGGGAAAATGAGGACCTGATGCCAGGGACTTAAGTGGAGAGCAAATGTTTTGAGAATGATGAGGGCAATGAATGTACAAATGCGCTTTACACAATTGATGCATGTATGGATTGTGATAAGAGTTGTATGAGTCCCTAATAAAATGGTTAAAAAAAAAGAAAAAAAGCCACAAAAACTAAGAAAATTATAGCGAAATGCTTGAACACAGCAGCAAAAGGTTTAAACGACGTGTACTAACAACGCCAAATAACGCACAGTGAATGAAACATGAACTGCTTTTGTTTACAAAAATCACGTGCACCTGGTAGGATTCCAATGTTTTGTTTGAGGTCCGATGCAAAACTTTCTCCACATTTCCCATCGAAATCCGATTATGTCGGGTACTGGTGGGGTCGAGTAGTGGGGTGCTATTCTATAAAGCTCTTTCTTATACACATATTAGTGTTTATGAATTTGTTTCTCTGGTCAATCCAGACGAACACAGAGGGGAGGGTACATGGAGGAATGCCAGCTCGACTGTCTTTCATGACCCTGTCAGGAGCCAAAGGGGCCTGGTGGTATGGTGGGTTAAATCTTGGGCTGCTACCATGTAAGGCTGGTGGTTCAAATCTCCCAGGCTGCAGAAAGGAGCATGATGAGGCTGTCTGCTTCTGTTAAAGATGAACAGTCTCAGAGACCCCAAGGCGCCGTGCTAGTCTGTCCCACCTAAGGTCTCTATGAGCCAGAATTGGCTGGATGGCAGTGGGTTTGCTGTTTGGTTCTGAGGATCCAGGAAGCCTGGGAAACCGAACCTGAATTTGTTCTGGTTTGTCCAGAGTTCACCTTCTGGGACTTAAAAATTCATTTATTTTTGGTTACATAAGTAACAGGAAAACACTCTCTTAGGAAATAATTTAGGCCACACCGAAGGCCAAAGCCTTCCCTACCATTGTCTGGCCCCTGAGGCAACCTCTCAGTGCCTCTACCACTGGGGCTCATTTACCTATGGTCCATGCTGCCCGGGTGGAGATTGGTAAACCCTGGAATGTGGAGTGGGTCCTGGCTGAAGAAGAAGAAAAACTCTCTCTACCATAGGACCCAGGGCCTGGGAAGTGCAATGAGGCGGGCAGCCTGCTGGGCTAGAGAGGGTGGTGGGGAAGTTGTGTGCTGAGTGCACAGAAAGTCTATTTGTAGGGCAGAAGCAAAGAGGAGAACAGAAGTTTGCCATTGGTACTGTCTTGTGGCACATTCTGGGAGTCGCTGTGAGCTGGTTCTGCTCTTCTACCCTCAGTGGTTCTGAGACCAGGGAATGGGTCTGATGGCTGGGGCACTGGTGGGTATGTGTGCTTGTTTGGGGTGAGGGGTGACCAAGGAAGCATTGAATGTGACCATTAGATGGTTCTGTTCTTAGGCTCCCTTCCTATGAACCGATTTTCTCTTTGAAGGCTGCCCTCCACAACCATGTGGACCCAAACATACTGGGTGGGGGACAATTCTCCTCAGACTTTGGACCTGCTCTAGGGTTAAGCAGGCGGGGCTTGAAAATCTGCTGGAGTCCTGCTGAGTCAGCCTCAAAGAGGAGCTGAAAGAGCAGGGGAATTCTTTGATGCCAGGTTCTCTGACTGCTCAAGGCTAGAATAATATCTCCCACAAACCAGCCTCATCACTCTCTCCCCCTAGCCAGGGCCTGAGGCCAGATCCTTAGGGAGGTTCAGCAGAGGCTAGAGGCTCAGCTTCCATGTTCAGCTGGGAGAAACTAGCTCAGGCTCTGGAGCCCTGAGGTTAGTATTGAAGCCAGCTCTCTGAGTGCAAGGACGCAGGATGACTTCCTGGCACCTCATCTGGGGAGGAGGACCCAGGGAACCTCAGTCTGTGCTATTGAA